ATCTACTCTCTATTCAGAATTGTTCAAGTTGCCAAGAACCAAACTCACCTCCACGCTTCCCTTCTGTTCACAGCAAGACGCCCCAAAACTCCTCAGCACTGTAAATAAACTCACTTACCTTTTCATCTTGTCTCCTGGTCTGGTCTCTCAGCTCCGCTGCCCTGTTGAACAAAGTTAGCATCTTGTCAAGTATCTGGTTAAACACCAGTCAGCTGTGTAAATTTATGTGTACTGTGTCAGACATATGATTTACTTGTAGTTAAAATAATATTTTACAGTTGTGGATATAAGATCTGTACACTTTCACACAAGGGACTGGGATCTTGTCTTTGGAATCATTGTAGGCATGGCGAACACTGCAAATGTTTTTTTTTAATATACTTAATCCAAAAGATTTTAAAATTTAGTTTTTCCAGCTGGTCCCCAACAGTCACAGCCCAGTGAGATACTACCTTAAGTTGTTGGTTTTCTTTCAGCCGCGCCCTTCTGTAAGGTTCGACATTAAGATGGGATAAATGGCTCTTTGAAGGGATCCGGATCTTGAGGAGCTTATTTCATAAGGAGTTTCATAAAGCTGTTCAATTTTGAATGACTTACATCATTACATAGAGAAATATATCATGTTATGTGGGTGGAACCATGCGTTTAGTTAAGCAGAAACCCCCTCCCCCTTTCCCCCTGAGCTGCCAAACCCCACCGCTCTGCCTGTTTTCTGTGAAAAAACAAAATGGGAGGGATTGTCTCTCTGTTTAAGGATACTAAAGATTATATGAGGAATAATAAAAAGGTCTTTCCTGATATCTGGGTTTAAACCTATACAGCCTAAGGATTACAAGACCACCAAGCTCTTGTCATTCCCCTGGGATACCTCAAGTTATAATAAATAGAGGTACAATTTTGTTTTATCACCCATTTTGTTTTATAACTCGTGGAATATTTTATGATGTAGTGCAGGGGTTTTCAAACTATAGGGCGTGCCTAGAAGAAGCCAATAGTTTTCGTGGGGGGCGTGACATTAATCAGGAAGTGGGAAAATAACATGTTCATATTGCAGGTCATAGATTATATTTATTTTTTGCTTAGAAATTTTTGTAAGAGGTGTATCACATTATCATTTAAGCCTGATCTCTTTCAGACTTCAGTATGARCCGTAGCAGTTGAAAGGTGAAAAAAAAAGTTCTGAGGTAACCTATTGTGCACAAAGGAAGTGACGTCACACACAGCAAGCAGACTTTGTTTGAGGAAGTAGCTGAACATGCTATGTTTGTTAGTTTGTGTGATTCTAAGGTTATTGTGCAATCTCAAGTGATTAAATTATCTGACATGCTTGTTAGGTTCAGTGTTCACATTTAACCTTGCCTCTTGATGGATTTTCCAGCACAGCATTTAATTTTTGGAGCGGAGCTTTGAGCAGAAGGTAATATATCCTGATTCTTCTCAATAAACCACACCTGCATTCACTACATACACATGACATGACACCTAAGAACCACAGCATTCAAACCAAAAAGTCAGGTGATGGGGCACACCCTCTATGAACAATAAAGCCAATCAAGCCTATTATTAAGTGAAGGCCCTCTTTTGCATGTGATTGACCTCTTTGTCCACCATGTGGAGGCAGTGCTTATAAGGCTGAGTCCACCTGAAACTCATCAGACTGAAGAAGTCTCTTGGATGAGAGACGAAATATTTCACTAAAGAAGAACCCATCTAGAGGACCTACTTATTTTTTTCTTTTTGAAAAGGTAATATAAACTTAGAGTTTTGATTCCAACATGTTATGCTGCGTTCACACCGAACGCGATTTCAGCTTCAAAATCGCAGCCAACGCTGAAGTTTGAAGCTTGTGCAYTTTGAGGTCAGATGCAGGTCAGCTCTTGAAGCGCTGCACGGCAGAGCCTCCCCGCCCCTCCCTCCTCTGTCGGGCTCTGTTTAATGTCGGACGAGGAAGTGGCTTTGCTTTATTTACAGAGAGCAAGAGCATGTCACGTTCATCAGATAATTAATTCATAATTAATTCACCAGATAATTCAGAGTAGAGGCTCACAGCTCGCTTTCAGGACTATTTTTCCAGTCTGATGAGTCGCTGCCACGCATTAGTGCAGATATGTCCTGTCAGGACACCGACCGCAGGCACTCGATTTCAGCTAAAGAGCTCCTCTCCATCTGTTTCAGGTTAGTGGACATCATTCAGTAAACTGTCCCGTCRGGAAATATGTCRCTACGTCACACAGTGGAGTCTCTCTGATTGGTTGACGYGGCGCRWCRAGCTGCAAAAGTTCAGATTTTCTAACTTCAGCGATTTGCGCCTCAGCGCGTCGACCGCTCAGATCGTTCAAATCGCGCTGCTCTAATCGCGCTTGAGGCACCGCAGCATTTCCCGACGTTGCTTGAAGCGCATCCACCATAGACTTTGCATGTAAACCTGCTGCTCCTGATGCTGAAATCGCGTTCGGTGTGAACGCAGCATTAGTATTGACACGCACCATGCTAATTTAGCACCATCTGTTGCTGTAAATTTTACGTCATTTAGTACATGTGAAATGAAAAGAACATGGACGAAGCAGTTGGACCTCTGTTCTGTAGATGAAGACATGCAGAGTTCTGTGCATGAAACACCCATCAGATTGGTAAGATTATAAATTATTGGATCGATCCGATCTGCTCACCGCTTACCTCAGTGATGTTACATGAGTAGTCAGATGAAATGAGACATTAATGATTAGAGTCACTTTGTAACACATCTGATAARTTGCATAGGATCAAAAACAACCGGATTTGGGCCACATTTACCTGCAGTGCGAACGCAGTCTGAAAGAAAACAAGAAGACTTCGCTTAGCCTTCAGAGGCGTAGGACGCTTTTTTGCTCTCTCCTGAACCTGCCCCTCCTTTCCTGCTTCACAGCTTTTTCAAGCCATATTTGTACCTACCATTCGAAACAAAATGAATTATGGATTTGGTCAACTGGTTCCTGAACAYAATTGACACTATTTTTTCCACATGAAGATTGGAACGAGGGGAACGTAGCAGTTCCAGTGGAACGGTTGCTGCCGGTCGGGTCAGTGGTTCCTGGGGGGCTTGGAATCTGATCTGTCTGGCGCCGCTTTCCGTTGAATACATGGGAGATTTTTATATATTTGGATTTATGATAATTGGATTTCTGCTGATTAGCGGAAGCGGATTTCTTATTTATTGGAAAATGAAAGTGATCCTGACAGCGATTCTGTCCTTTGAGAAGCTGTCAGGCACAGTGGATGGAATCTGCCATGAAAGCCACGAAATTCAGAACATTTTTTTCCACCATTTTCAGAGATGCAGTAAGACTGAAAGCAGCAAGAAAATGGAAGGCCGCTTGTCTCAGAACATTTGTGTTTATCTTTTCAGATCCCAGCTGCTGACCTCRGTTGGCACGTTTATCTAAACTTCCCAGGATGATACATCAACAAGGGCTTGATTCCCTTCCCTCCCCTGTATCACCCGTGTGGCACCAGTCTGAAGGCCGTGACGGAGGAAGGGGAAACTCTGAACTCTGAAATGAGCATGAGATGATAAGATCTGGTCTCGAGATTCTGGCGGGTCTAGGATCAGTTCCAGCATGGATAATTAACTTGAAACATCACYGGCTACACTGAATCCTGCCCCCATCTCATGTTTGACCCCAAGCCCGTCCCCATCCACAGCTGTCTGCTCTGTAGCGAGTAGTTTTTTGTGCATATGATTTTGTGTTTATGAGTAAACACAGGATCAGAGCAACCTTTTTAACTCATCTCTCCTATTGTGTTTTTCCAAGCTGCAAAAGGTAACGCGACCCTGTTGCACAAGACCTGTTCATCCGTTTCCTCATGTTTGTTATGTGTGTCTTTCTTTTGAACGGGTGTTCTTAACTGCATTTTTGTTCTACATTGCATCCCTGATGTTATGTTTGAATGACAATAAAGATAATTCTGAAAAGGGTTATGATGTGAGGTGATTAAAAAATATATGTTTTTAATGCACTGACGTTTAAAGGAAAAAAAAATGGTTGCAGAACAACTTCAATTTCTATACACACATGCTAATATGGTAACATGTGTAGCATCCGGATTTTCTTCCTAAAACAACATTCTGTATGACATGTCTTTTTCTGCACCTCAGAACAGTAAACGGTTCACACTGGGGCTGATGGAGGTCACATTTCAATGATA